AGGAATGCTGCTAGAGGAACTATCCAGTCTAACTTGGTTTCTCTTTTCTTCCCCCATTTCAACATATCAGGAATATAAGAATGGCCCTACTATACTAATTAGTTGTATGTCACTGTCATAGCTAATGTTAGCACCTCAAAGGCCAGAATGTTTTCAGAACCTGTCAGTCATCTCTCTGCTGCTCTAGACTTCCCTTGAAGAAACATGAAAGTAGCCATTTGAAAGCATTGGAGCAGCCAGCAGAGATCCTAGAGAGAAAGTGAGGGTTGATATTTCCCCATCCTGGACACCAGAGCTGAAGGGGCGAAGGTGAGTGCCCATGACTCATGAGTCTAAGAGCCCTCTCCACGCATTACACACGGAGAGAAATTACAGTGTGAGGGAAATAAAATGAGTTTCTCAAGCACAAGAAGTAGATTTTTATACTGCAAGGTTAGAAACCTTGTGTAATTTTTAATAGGGTGAATTTTTTGGGGGGTCTTATAGGACACTTATATGCAATCCAGCATGATCCTAGGGCATCTTCTCTATGATCCAAACTGTTAAAAGGCTTCCTTTAATGCTCCGGAGGCTAGTTCTGCCAGCATATGTAAGAGTAAAGTCTGATTTATTTCACCATTGACTTAGAAAGCATTCAGATCCTGGAAGTCTATACTACCCAACATTATTTAGCATAATAAATTTAGTTTAAGTCCTATTTTATTATGCCCTTTAAAAGCTCAGATTACTTGTTAATGCCATTTCCCTTTATCTTTTTTTCAAATAACTCATAATGAATCTATTTCTTACAGTGAGACTCACTTTCCTGACTATAACCCACACAGAAATCCACATGTTCATGCACACAGACTTCCAGGTGTGGTTGATAGTATTCAGATACCCTGGTCACTTGTACAAACAAGACAAAAAAAGAGAAATATTTAAGGGCCATTTGCTCTAAAGTGTAAGATTTTTAATTTTACTTTTTAGTGCCTAAACAAATTAACCATGAAACTCTGGTTGATTAGTGAGTATGGATTTGAATTGCCCAAGTCAATACTATTAAATTAATACTTTACTTAGAAAAGAAAAGGAAAGTTCAGAAGACCTATTTACCAGTACACAAAGGTCTTGGAAATGTTTTCTCTACTCAAAGGGTGTGTGTGCATGCAGGTCCCGTGGACTTGCCCTAGCGATCTCTGCTGGTATAAGGCAAATTTCAGCCTGTCTGGGCCAAGGACACAGTCAAGCAAGAGAGAACAGAGGTGTGTGGCACTGGCTTATATCTGGATAGGCAGGACCTTGTTCCTTTCTCAAGAAAACTCGAGGCCCATCAAGTTTGGAAGGAAATACATTTTAATGCTGATGAATATGCTAGGAATTTGAGAACACAGAATATGGTAAGTCTTCGTCAGGTGGAAAGGGTCCTGACTTTTGAACATAATGCTTCCTATCTCAACATTTAGAATACTTTTGAAAATTCACTAAGGCTTCATGTAGGAAAATTCCTCTTAAGAAAAGCTTACTGGTCCTTAATTCCATAGCCACTCCAGAATATGCCTTTTAAAATGAAAAATACAGGGCCAACAGGTGGCATGGTGGTTGAGGTGTACTCCCACATGGCTGACTGTGGTTCGGGTCCCAGACATGGCGGCTTACTTTCTCACTTTCCTTCTCTCTCTCTCTCTGTCTCTCTTTGGTTAACTACAATTTTAAAAATAATAAAAATAAATAAATAAAACAATGACAGTAAACAAAATTAAATAGAATAATTCTTTAAAATAAAATGAAATGAAAAATATATAGAGAGTGAGCAGAAAGAAGCAATTTGGGTTAAGAAGTACCCTCATGGTACCCTAAACAATATACCACAGGTAATCAAGAGGAATTATTGTAGTATCTTCTGGAAAAAGTTCTTAAATATCTCTTTTCTAAGCACTCTTTTTTTCTTTCCCTTAGTCTCATACCATGTATTTTCCAGCATTGTTCGCAACATCAGTGTATTTTATATCCTCTTCATCAGCTCTATTGAGGCGATATCAGCTTTTTTTCCACTGATTTCCTCCATTTCCTTCCCACGCCCATCCTGACCCTCTACTTAAAGCCTTCATTATGCTGCTGATTTATTCTCAGATATCTCCAGTCTAGCTTTCTCTTTGGGTCCTTGTCCTGGGCAGCCTTGATTTCAGTGACTGTTGGTGGCTCAGGTTATTTTCCACTGGGTGGTCTTTATATTTACATACTAAATTTGAATTGAGCTAAAAAAAAAAAAAAAATATCCTGTTGGATACAAAGATTAAGAGGACTTGGCTTCAGCTCTTTTTCCAGTATTTGGAATGCGAAAGCACATTGTGCTTTGCGTAAAAAATGTTTTCTCCTAGTCTACTCTGCTCTTTACTGGATGTAAAAAATACTCCCTAAATTGTTTTTATGAATTTCCAGCCTGGTTTCCTCATCCATTATGTTGATTTATCTCATGATATAAGTCAGAAATTTCACATATTCCTCGTATCAAACATTTTAGAGGAACACTTGGTGAATATTTTATGATGCTTTTGGCAGGGGGCGTTTTCCAGACTATTTGAATAGGTCATTATAGCCATAAAACTATGATAGCCAAGTTTTTGTTGTTGTTTTTGTTTTTCTAATTGCCTTGTAAAATGCATGAGTGCTGGTTCGGTAGCTCATGGGTGCCATGTGGGACTAAACAAAGTATGTTGTGGAGTTTGTCTTGTTTTGAAGTTGTTAGGAAATGTGAGAATGTCACTGGAAAGAAGAGAGTGGTTTCTTGGCTGCCTGTGTGGACAGCATTTCCTTAGGTGAATGTGTTGTTGGATGAAGAGGAAGACATGATTGACCCTTGGCCATTTAACATTTGTTGTGCTGAACATCAAGATTGCTCGTGCCAGTCGCCACAGGTGAGAAGAGGAGTCTGAAGGAAATTGCCCTCTTCTACCTTTCCCTCCTTGTGAGCATGACTTAAGGATTAGAGTCTATCCCTGTTGTGCCTCTGGCTGGCAGGCTCAGTGGTATGCTTTGAGCTCTAGAACATTTACAAAAAGACTACCTACTCTTATTTGCCTACCAGTTCTAATATCTTTAACCAGCTCAAATCCAAGCAATGTGAATTACCTGTCTTGTTTCAGAAGAGCTTTGGATATTTGTTTGGAGGTCTTGAAGCAGAGCCCTTCTGCCCCCCTACAGTGTTCTTGGACCAAAGAATTCTAAAGTAGTAGGAGGACGAAGGGAAATACAAAGTCCCAGCCTCTTCTCGCCTTTATTTCTATCATAAATTGTATTGTAAGATGGGAAGATAACAGAAAGCTTTATAATAGCATGTCAGTAGGGTATAATTGACCCAAGTAATTTGGGAATATAATTCGGTTGCAGCTGCTATATCCAAGTGCCCTAACTTGACATCTTGATTTTCTAGTTAAGGACACAGGCTGCTTAAGCACCAGCTGCTCTGACCTTGCCTTCTCACTTGGGACAAACTTCTAACTTGCCAGAACTGCCATAAGAGGCAAGTCGGGGTTTTTTTGCATGAAGGGCATCTGCAGCTTCACCCTCACGTCTACCTATTTTGTCCTCTATACTCTTCAGAAAATCAGTTCTCTGTCTCTGAAACCTTTGATCCTTAGGAAAGTCTGTATTCTCCACTGAGCATGGATCAATCTTTGGAGGCCAACGAGTTACACTTAATTTTCAAGAGAAAAATAATTTGTTGAATAGACTTACATGTGGGATGTTCAGTCAGAGAAAGTCTGTATGCACTTCTACCATCTCTGCCTCTGTTTTTGAGTAAGCCCTTATAGAGTTCAGCTTGCCGATGTTGAGTTTCAGTACTTCTCAGCCAGCATGGTTTATTGCTCTCTTAGGAAGAACCATGAGCAAGCAAAACCATACCAATGGCCCTTTCTATTTTGTCTGTTTTCCAGCATCTTATTTTATGGAATTGGCTTGGAGAAATGGTAGGTAAGGTTCAAAGTAAGAGAGAGAATCAGTTCTAGAACCAGGATGCTTTGCCTTGAGTCTATCATCTGTCCTGAATATGTAGTGATAGTTGGCTCACACTTTGCTCTGCATCTGATGGACTCCATCCCTTTTTCACTGGCAAGGAGAGTTTCTGCTTCTCACATACCTAAGCAGGGTCACTGGTTGGTGATTGGCACCACTGGAAACCTTCCCAGCCACTTCCAAGCATGGTGTTGGTACCAGGACAAGAGCAGATGAGCAGATGTGCCCAGATGTGTACTTTTTCTATTCTGCCATGCTTCAAGAACCTAGGGAAATCTTTGAAGTGATGTCTTTTTTTGTTATAAGAAAACTTTGCCCCACTAAGTTTCTCTTGTCATTGTCTCCTACTGTGTATTAATTCAAGTCTGTACCACACTGCTGCTCACACATATGTATGTTACTTACCTTAGCTTTTCTTTTTTTATGGCACTAGAGAATGAGAACCTAAAAGTTCTAGAAAATCCTAACTTGAAAAGGCGTTTCTAACTGGCATGGTTTGATTAATTACTTTACCTTTCGCCCCCAAAGATGAATGATTTTCTTTCCTAGTGCTATGTACTAGATCTTTAATAAGTGAAACCTTTGCTGCTACTTTCCTGGTTTACATCAGTTTTTTTTTTTTTTTCTTTCCCTTCCCTTGAGAATAATTTTTTTATCTCTGCTTCTTTGATGACTGTTAATTTCAGTGCAGGAAGGAGTGAGCCTGTGATTCTTCTCTTCCTCCCCTCCTCACTCCACTCCCAAATTACACACTAACCTCTGACTCCTGGAGCCTGTTGGCACATACACAAGGTCTGTGGGACCCAGCTCACCGGAAGCTCCCTGTGTTCTTTCTCACCATGCTGAAGCTCTTAGAGCTGACCCCTGAGGATCTGTGACTCCAGAGGCTTACTAGCCGGGGAGAGGCTTTCTTAATTTTGCCTTTCTCCATTCCTGTTTTATGACTTGACCTTCAGATGCTTCCCATGTTGGTCTCGGCCT